AGATTATTGTAAGTGCCTTAAAAATCGTGGCGACCGTTACGAGGACCACCCTGTATACATTGTATATAAGTTAAATTTTATTTTATTTTATTTTTATTAATGTTTGTTGAAAGTGGCCGATATTGAATTAATATGAATATTTATACATTATTATCAATTTTCTTGTTAAGTGGGAAGCAGTATACCATGCTGTGTATGATCATGAGTGGTATAAATGGGAGTCAAAAGAAGCGAAAAATCTTATTTTATTAATGGTACGAGTTCAGCAACCCTGCGGTATCACAGCAGGAAAGATTGTTCCATTAACGATGACTACTTTTTGCAGCGTAAGATTATTAGTATTTCTTAGTTTAATTAAAATCTTATGTGTTACTGTTTTTCTTTTATCTGTATCTATGTAATGAAATACACTACTCAAAAAAAAAAAATAGAGAACACTCTTATATTCTAAAAATTGGGCTTTTTTCAATCTTTTAAAACTCGACAAAAAATCATTGTAGATAAAAAATTAAAAAAGCGGTTTGAAGCTTGAAGTTTCAATTTTAACGTGTAACGACATCGGAGGACTCAACAATTTTTTTTATTTTTCTTGTTTTGTACTTTAAAATTGTTTTGTTCCTTAATATTATGTATCTTTGACACTCTGCAGATGGATAAAAAAATTTCGGTCAAAAAATTCAACTCAAGTTCCATAAACTACAACATTTTGCCTACAAAATGCTTTTTTAAAAATTTTCTTAAGATTTTTTTTGACCGAGTTACACGATTTTGAAACTAAACCTGTATTTTCTAGAAATGAAAAAAAAATTTCTGTGAAATTATTGATATCACGTTACAATTGAAACTTCAAGCTTCAGAATGCTTTTTTAATTTTTTACCTACGATGATTTCTCGTCGAGTTTCAAAGGTTTATAAATAGTCCAATTTTTAAAATATGGAAAGTGTTCCCTATTTTTTTTTAGTAGTGTATATTTATTAATTAAAATTATTATTTAGGTAAAGAAAATGTATGCAATGATATATCTTCCTGTACTTTTTAATTGATATTAACATAAAATACTTTTTTCAAAATGTATTAACATTGTAACTTTAAATATTATACTAAATCTGTTAGTCAAAAAAGTATTATTTTTAATAATAAATCTTTAGGATTCAAATTTAAATTATTTAATATTTAAATATTGAAAATGTGATTACAAATATAATATGAAACTGTAGTCAATTTAATTAAGAATTTTATTTTTTAGTTTTGTAAAAATATCTTTAAATATATATAGATATATTTATTTTTAGCTATTAAAAACTTCAGCTGGTTATATATCGTTTTTATCGGCAATAATGGATTAAAGGAATTAAGCTGGTATTACATAGTAGTGTTATATAGTAGCAACATATAATAATACATATAGTTTTTCATATTAATATATAATATATAATAATACATTAATTCGAGAAAATGAGTATATGTAGAATAAATATATTTTTCTCCAGTTAAAATTACTAATAAAAGACAATAATCACATTAGTTATAAAGAAAATAAAAGTTTACACTCGGGATATTTACCTCGATGTTTGCGTCTTTTCGTAAATTATGTTATTTTTGTTTGAAGATTACGATCATCATATATAATTTTATGAATTCATGGTAAGATTAAAAAAATTTTTTATATGTATATTGTTGCGTTTGCCATTTTTCATTAATACGATTATATATGTATATATATATACATATTTTTTTTTTTTTTTTTGTTAAGTGCGATGCAATATACCGTGCTATGTGCGATCTTGAATGGTATACATTGGAGTCGTGTAAGGCAAAAAATATTATTTTATTAATGTTACTAGCCAAGGAACTTTTACGCATTACTGCAGGAAAAGTTCTACCATTAACAATGACCACTTTTTGCAGCGTAAGATTATTAATAAATGTATCTGTAATTCAATGTATCTTCCTTTCTCTGCTAAGTTTTTTAACAAATATTTAATAAGAATATTTTTTAAGTGTTACAATTTTTTTAGTATTAAATTTTTACAGCAAGAGAGACTATTCTCTCCTCTATCTACGTAAATATAAAAAATTATTGTTACAAATATAAATGAAAAAGCGCATAAAGAATATAAACATATATTTCTGTTAAACATTAATTCTTCTTTTGTAGAATCTCTTATCTTGATTAAAGATATATATTATTTACAGTTATTAAAAACATTGGCTAGCTATGTATCTTAAATACTAGCAATGTGGAATTAAGAGTTCATATAATAATATATTATTATTCAGTTATTCAAGAAAATGAGAATTGAATTAGTATTACTGCAGAAATAAAGTTTTAAATTCTTTACATCTCAATGTATGATATTTATTGTAAAAGTATTATCATGTGATTATGTGACACGAGATAGTGTCAACGGCAGAAACATTCCGAAAAGAAATTGAGATTCGTGTGTTTCCTTCTTTTCGATCTGAAGAAAGCAAATCTATTCTTCAAATTTTTTCTTTTCTATTCATATGTTTACTGTGTATATGAACATAGAAAATTTAGAAAAATAATTACAGATTTTTGTTTGTATCTTACCGAATCTCAATTTTGTGAGCTGCATTCATAAGATGAATTACGTGGATACTACAATTGGAGTTTTATCAATGTCGGTTTTCGCAGCAGTGGCGCAACTTTCGATATGCAGAAAACAGGTCGTATTATTTTGTACTTGATAATGATGATGTGTCCAAACAATTTATATTATGCAATAAAATTGCGATTTTACAGTCTTTTAGGCAGATCTTACCAAGCGAAAAACATGAACGAAATATCGGAGGAGATGAGAATGGAGCTCGGAATAAGAAGACATGCGCGAAAAACTTCAATATTGTATATAAGTGTACTTCATTGACGCTAAAGACAATTATGTATATAATACATACATACATACAACTATGTATATAGTCCACTCGATCCGATATACATGTGTCATATCAACGCATATACCTTTGCAATAAATATTCAAAAAATACGCGTAAGAACGTGTAATGCGATGCCTTTTTTTCTTGTTAACTGCAATTTCTCTGTGTTCTCGCGTGTTCGCTATATAAAAATCCATTAAAAATGCATTTACGTGCCAATGTTTTTTGCTCCGTACACGTGCGTAGCAAGGTACGAAAAAACTTTTAAAAAGTTCGGCGAATAATGTGACATAATATTTCTTATTTTTCCATCGTATTAGACGTTAATACTTTTTATGACATATTCTTATACCTGTAAAGTTTTGTTACAAAACCGACGATTGTAATCGCCTGAGAGGGAGAGCAGTTTTAATATTTAATGCATCCCTCGATGAGAAGCAGCAGGTTGTTATACTCGCATTGTGAGCATGCGTGACGAGAATTTTTTGCCATAGATCGGCGAAAATTGGAATAGAGTTCCGAGCATTAGTCTTCGCCATGGACGCTTCCGAATATTATTCCCGTTACAGAGGTACCAAGTTTTTATCACGTGTTTTTCGCGCTCATCTTGAGATTTACCTTGTGAGAATTCTTGATAATATTATATTGCTATATTAAAACAATAATTATTGCATAATAGGATCAGTTTGTATATGTATGTGTTATATTTTTCTATTAATTTCTACTTTTACTCATATAATACGTGAATATTTCTTTTACGTTAAACTTCTTAAATTTTAAATTGATTTAATTCTCAGATCATCATTTTTTATCATATTAAATAAATAGATTTATGAAATTATTTAAAATGTCTCAAACTTTTTGATTTTTAAATCCCTGAGCTTTTCTTTAGATTTTTGATGTGTCTTTATATATATTTTTGCTTTCTAATGTTGAAATTCTGTTAGATTTTGAGTGGGCCGTGGAATTAAATCGATTCGGTCTGAAACTGGTCGGTTTATGGCCCAAAACGAACGAAGTAGCTAAGAATAACTACGCGTCCGATCTTCGCGTAGGCATAATTTTTGTTATAATAACGTTCGTCTCCGGTATTCCTCTCATATGCTCCCTTGTACAAGTTTGGACCGATATGATACTCGTGATAGACAATTTACAGATTACGTTACCCCTGATGTTGGTCTCATTGAAACTTGTTATCATTAGATGGAAACGAACAGGTATGTGCTTAGAATTATTCTAATCTTGAAGCGTTTAATTTCAGGTTTTTGCTCTTCGACTTATATAGTATATTCAACTGAAACATAGATTAAAACTTTTATGGAACAACGATCTTAGTCTACATTTCAGTTAAACATATCTTATATATTATATTAAAAATCGAAGAATTTATATAAAAGTGTTATAAATATATAGGATAAAGTCGTCTAAATCGCACAGGCTTCTAAATCGCATCATCACGCTATAAATTTATCTTTGACATTTAAATAGATTAATTATAATTATATTTCAAAGCTGTCTTATCCATCGTGAGGATGATGGCAGAAGACTGGATGGCGCCGAAAATAGACGCGGAGAGGGACGTGATGGTGAAGCGTGCGCGGACCGCACGGCTTTTCGTGATTTGCGGATACGTTCTGATGATATTCGCGTTCATCACGATTATCGTTCTTCCTTGCTTCGGTCTGCCCTTTAGACGCTTAACAAATCTCACGGATCGGGACAGACCGTTGCCGCTGCAGACGTATTACTTTTACGATACGGATAAGAGTCCGCAGTTTGAGTTGACACTTCTTATTCAAGCCACGACGATCTTCTTGGCGGCTGTAACTTACACGTCGGTGGACGCTTTCCTCGGACTCGTGATTCTCCACATTTGTGGTCAGCTGGAGAACTTTAGACGCCGATTAATCAGCCTGGCCTTGCGCAAAGATTTCAACTGCGCTCTACGCAACAACGTGATCGCTCATCTGCGGCTCATCAGGTTTCCGCAGGTTTTAATAGTATGACAATGGGAAAAATGTTGAATGAAAAAGATTAGCTTTACACAAAAATTTAGATTATATAATTTACAACTCTTAAATATTAAGTTCCTTGTAGATGCATAGTTTCGATGTTATAAGTACTTATGTAAAGGCTTCGACATGATTGTGTAGGATATTTCGCAGATTTTCTACCATTTCTTTTATTTTTGCGGATTTCTTCGTCGGTTATATTTGAATATATCTCATTGTTTTGAGTATATGTTTTCTTTAAACATGATTTGTATTTTTGTAGATTTGCCGATAAAATGGAGAATACATTTGCCTTAATGATGTTGAGTCTAGTATTCTATTTTGGTATCGTATTTTGTCTATATGGATTCCTGTTGCTCAGTGTAAGTTTAATAAGATGTTAGTTTAATAAGTATAAGTTTAATAAGACATGCATTAAAATTGTTAATGTCTGTTCTTCACGCTTTCTTTAGAAAAAAAAATTAAAACATAAAATTGCATGATATCTTATCTGTGATTATAATACTTTTATTTATATCTCGATAAATTTATATTAATCTATTTTTCAATAAATAGTAAAACATATGTTGTATTTATCAGGTGGTCACTAACGCAGAAAATAATGTCTCTTTCTCGCGAGTAGGCTACGTGATAGTCGGTGTCGTTACTCTATTAGCGCATACCTTTCTCTACTGCGGTGCTGGAGAAATTATAACAGAACAAGTAAGTATGTTAATACATGTTATTCAAAATGTATTAAATAATTTTAATTAATCAATTTAACGCGTCATGTGCTATCGCAATCAATCAGTGATGTTCAATCAGTTCATATTTAGAAATATATATTTTCGCATCAATATACATCATAATCTCACGTTTCTTGATTTAATGTTATTTGTGAACTTAATTGCCAAAAGAAAGAACATACACTTAAAGAATTATTAACTTATATTTATACTTCAATTTATATATTTCATATATATATGTATACGTTTCTATAAGCATTAATGATTTTCGAGCTTAATTGACTTTTTGCCAAAGAAAGACAAAACTAGAATCTCATGTGTTATATATAAGTAACAATTAAAATTAACTTATGTTTGTGTGTTCTGTATCTGATAGTGTTGTCCATATGCGTTTGTTTAGTTACACCCTGTATATATCTATATTTTATGTACTGTATGTGCTAACGTAAGTGCGAGGCAGTCTATCGCGCTATGTGCAATCTTGAGTGGTACAGATTGAAACCAAAAGAGGGAAGAACCCTGATTTTACTAATGATACGAGCCAGCGAACCTTTCCGCATCACCGCGGGAAAAATATTTCCATTAACGATGACCACATTCTGCAGTGTAAGATAATTAATAGTCTGTAATTAAAATATCTTTTCGCACTTTTATGCGAAATCTCGCACAGATAAAAATATATAAATATGTTTTTCAGTTATTAAAAACGTCGGCCGGTTATGTATCGTTTCTACTAGCAAATCGCGAAATTGAAGCGTGAGAAAAATTACATTATTTTTTTCAGAAATTGAAAGAGAATAAATAGTAATATATTTTCGATGAGTTAATATTATGACCAAAAACTGATGACTATATCGGTAAGAGAGAGAAAGAAAGAGAGAGAATGTAGAATTAATTTGTTTAAATTAAATTAATGTAAAAGTAATATTTTCCAAATATTTATATGTATTTAGTATTCCCACCCACAAAAAGCTAATTGTGAGATATTTCTTTCTATTAGTTCGCGTAAGTAGAACTAATCAATAATATGAGAGACGAAGATGTGTTTTACGTATAATAAGTTTATTAGATTAAAAAACATGATAATTATAAATTAACGATATGTAATACAATCTATGCGTCTAAATTTAAAAAATCTTCAAAGTATATATAATAATTTAATAATAATGTTCTTATTATGTTTATCGAAGGGCAACAATCACATCTATTTTTGATAAGATAACTGTGTAATTTACATATCTATTATATTATATTTATGTTTGTTAGTACCGTATTTATTAACATTTATTATAAAAAAATGTGTCTTCAAGATAGACATTCACGATATTCTTATAATTTATACTTACGGGACATTGTACATCTTTACCGCCGCATTTTTTTTTGTGCATGACTGAAGTTTTTCTGTCTTCTTCCCTATGAAGGAACTCTCCTCTATACAGATATTAAATATGCAACATGCAACATGTAACATTATCTCTTGTTACGCGAAGTGAACGCAATTGTCGTTATAAAGTACGAAGAAACTTGTACAACAAAAAAATTCGACGGACTTATTTGTAAGACAACGTAACTCCCTTTCTATTAGTGGCGTAGATACATCGTTGCATTTTACGATGTACCCTCTTATTTTCGCATAAAGTTTTATCGCGCAAAACGAACGGCTGTTATCAATTGGGCGTAACATTTGTAATATTTAATGCATTCTTCGACGAAGCAGCTGGCACAGGGTATCGCACTCGTATCGCGAGCATGCGTGATGATTATCTTTCGCAACTTTTGGAGTAGGGTGTAGCGAGTTTCTCTTCATTATAGTCTTCGATATGGACATTACCAAACATTCAGGTTACAAAGGTATCGAGCGTTTATCATATGTACTTTCACTCACAATATATATAATTTTTGCAAAAAGCTTTTGTGTATAATTTTCTTATTGTACCAATTCAAAAGAAAAATATTTATATACAATAATAGAATTAATTTATACATTAATTATACGTTGTATTTCTAGTAATATATTTTATCTTTTTGTCTTTATATATTGCTGCTCAACTAATGGATAAATCTTTTATTTCGATTTTGCGATTTCAGACTGCGCATTCAGATTTACAAAGTCAATAATTTTTCGCATTTTTATTTGCCTCTGAAAACATTAAATAACGAATTTTTTCCGATTTTTATTAGTTATTGAATCTATGAATACCAGTCCTTAGATTTTTATATCAAAGCCTTACATTATTGAATTATTAAATTTTTGATATATTTAATATTTTTTGACATTTTAACTATTTTATAATAAAATTTTGTTAGATTTTGTGTGGGCGGTTGAACTACATCGGATCAGCTTGGAAGTGATCGGTTTATGGCCCGGAACCGATAAAACAGCTAAGGACAGTTTCCTTTCCGATCTTCGCGTGAGCGTTATTTTCGTTATAGTAACTTTTCTGTCAGTTGTTCCTCTCATATGTTCTTTGATACGTGTTTGGGGCGATATGATTCTCATGATAGACAACCTCCAAGTTACTTTTTCTTTATTGATGGTTTCGCTAAAACTGATCATCATGCGATGGAAACGTACAGGTATGTTTGAAATTATTACTGTGACATTAGAAAGAATGAGAAAGAGAGAAAAAACCAAGAACTACATACAAAAAATTATAAAGCAATATATACAATCTCTCTCTTAATATTATATATTTTTCCAATAATTTTAGTTTTTCAAAATTTAATTACATTTCATCAATATATATTCAAATAATTAATTCATAATAATTCTAATTATGTATGTGTGAAGAAAAGAGAGAGAAAGATTTATAGTTATAGATTATAAGGAAATAAATTATGTGATGTGTTGATGTCTTTAGATATATAATATTAAAAACAGAACTTAATAATTTTTTACGTACATTAAAGAAAAGAAATAAACGAATGATTTTATTAAATTTTCAAGCTGTTTCATTCATCGTGAGGATGATGGCAAAGGATTGGGTAGAGTTGAGGGTAGACAGAGAGAGGTACGTGATGATCAAACGAGCTCGAGCTGCCCGACTGATCGTGATCTGCGGATACGCTTTGATGATATTCGCGTTCATCGTGCTCATCATTCTTCCGTCATTTGGTTTACACTTTCGATACCTGACGAATCTCACGGATCACGGCAGACTGTTACCGTTGCAGGCGTATTATTTCTACGACACGGATAAGAGCCCGCAATTTGAGCTCACTCTTGTTATCCAAGCCGTGACAACATTACTAGGAGCGATAACTTACACATCGGTGGACTCTTTTTTTGCATTGACGATTTTTCACATCTGCGGTCAGTTGGAGAATTTCAGATACCGATTAGTTGACTTGGCATCGCGCAAAGATTTCGATAGTATTCTGCGCGATAACATGCAGACTCATATACAACTGATAAGGTGTTTCTACGAATTTCACTTATTATTAAAAATGATCAGTAAATTAAAATATTTTTATGTACGATAATACAATACAACGAGAAAAAGACAAGAAATAGGTAATTATTTTTCAGAGTTTTTTTGACGCTATTTATTGCGACGTTCGAATCCATTACATCACAATTTTGAGAAATTTGTGGTTAAAGTTGCAAAAATGGATTATTTTTTCAGTAACTTGAAAGCTGGAGTCGTCAAAGTTGGAGATAAAAAAACTCTAGGAAAATGATTACTTTTTTGTGTTCGAAAACAAAATTACTTTTTGTTGAACTATATAATTAAGCTCATGTGCATTTTGTTAATTTTATTATTGTAATTCTTATAAAATCTTTAAAAACGCGTGTTTTTTATATCTATAGATTCGCAGCAAATATCGAAAATACGTTCACTTTAATGATGTTGGGACTGGTATTCTATTTTGGTATTGTATTTTGTCTATACGGGTTTCTATTGGTTACTGTAAGTGTCAGTAAGAAGTACACGAAAAATGTTGAGACATTCTTTTCTCTCTCTTTTTTTTTCGCTTTTGATAATAGAAAATTATGTAGAGTATATTACCTGCGATCGCGCGCGCACATATAATATTATTAATTAACAAGATGTATTATCTAGGTGTTAGTTGGCGACGATGAGATAAGTAACATGTCCCCTCAACGAATATGCTTCGTGATGATCGGTATTGTTACTTTATTGGCGCACACGTTTCTTTATTGCAGCGCCGGGGAGATTGTAAAGGAACAAGTAAGTTATATTTATATGCATCCACAAAAAAATATAAATTTAGCGTTATATGTTGTAATCAGTGTAAAAATATATCACGCATTACAACAAGTTTAATAAATATATTTTCAAGCTGACAATAAATTTTGGTATATGTATAGTCTTATTTGCCAGTTTAGTATATGTAGTATTATATTAAATTATTAAAAAACGTTTTTATATATATACTCATAATATTTATTATATACGATTGTTTTAGTATAGACATATTAAATACAACTAATTTATTAAATCTAAATTTCTAATTTTTTAAAAGTTGTCATGCTTTGATTTCTTTTTTATGTTTTTTTTCTCTCTAGACAGAGATAAAGAATTTTGCTGAATTAAATTTTAAGTTTAATTTGTGTTTACCGAATAGTTTTCGATATATTGAAATAACACAGAGATATGTATATCTATATTTTATGTACTGTATGTGCTAACGTAAGTGCGAGGCAATATATCGCGCTATGTGCAATCTTGAGTGGTACAGATTGAAACCAAAAGAGGCAAGAACCCTGATTTTACTAATGATACGAACCAGCGAACCTTTTCGTATCACCGCGGGAAAAATATTTCCATTAACGATGACTACATTCTGCAGTGTAAGATAATTAATAATCTGTAATCAAAATATCTTTTTGCAATTTTAAGCGAAATCTTACATGATAAAAATATACAAGTATGTTTTTCAGCTATTAAAAACGTCGGCCGGTTATATATCGTTTCTACTAGCAAATCGCGAAATTGAAGCATGAGAAAAGTTATATCATTTATTTAGAAATTGAAAGAGGATAAATAATAATATATTTCCAATGAGTGAAAATTAAGACCAAAAATTAATAACTATATCGGTTAGAGAGAGAAAGAGAGAGAGAGAGAGAGAGAGTGAATGTGTAGAATTAATTTGTTTAAATTAAATTAATATAAAAGTAATATTTTCTAAATGTTTATATGTATATAGTATTCCCACCTACAAAAAGCTAATTGTGAGATACTTCTTTCTATTAGTTCGCGTAAGTGGAACTAATCAATAATATCAGAGACGAAGATGTGTTTTATGTATATTAAGTTTATTATAGTAAAAAACATGATAATTATAAATTAACGATATGTAATACAATCTATGCGTCCAAATTTAAAAAATCGTCAAGGTATATATAATATTTTAATAGTCATGTTCTTATTATGTTTATCGAAGGGCAACATTCACACCTATTTTTGATGAGATAACTATGTAATTTACATATCTATCATATTATATTTATGTTTGTTAGTACCGTAGTGCCGTTAGTACGTTTGATAGTACCGTATTTATTAACATTTATTATAAAAAAATGTGTCTTCAAGATAGACATTCACGATATTCTTATAATTTATACTTACGGGACATTGTACATCTTTACCGCCGCATTTTTTTTTGTGCATGACTGAAGTTTTTCTGTCTTCTTCCCTATGAAGGAACTCTCCTCTATACAGATATTAAATATGCAACATGCAACATGTAACATTATCTCTTGTTACGCGAAGTGAACGCAATTGTCGTTATAAAGTACGAAGAAACTTGTACAACAAAAAAATTCGACGGACTTATTTGTAAGACAACGTAACTCCCTTTCTATTAGTGGCGTAGATACATCGTTGCATTTTACGATGTACCCTCTTATTTTCGCATAAAGTTTTATCGCGCAAAACGAACGGCTGTTATCAATTGGGCGTAACATTTGTAATATTTAATGCATTCTTCGACGAAGCAGCTGGCACAGGGTATCGCACTCGTATCGCGAGCATGCGTGATGATTATCTTTCGCAACTTTTGGAGTAGGGTGTAGCGAGTTTCTCTTCATTAGTCTTCGATATGGACATTACCAAACATTCAGGTTACAAAGGTAACGAGCATTTATCATACGTACTTTCACTCACAATATATATAATTTTTGCAAGAAGCTTTTGTGTATTATTTTCTTATTGTACCAATTAAAAAAAAAATATTTATATACAATAATAGAATTAATTTATACATTAATTATACGTTGTATTTCTAGTAATATATTTTATCTTTCTGTATTTATATATTGCTGCTCGACTAATGGATAAATCTTTTATTTCGATTTTGCGATTTCAGGCTGCGCATTCAGATTTACAAAGTCAACAATTTTTCGCATTTTTATTTGTCTCTGAAAACATTAAATAATGAATTTTTTCCGATTTTTATTAAGTTATTGAATCTATGAATACTAGTCCTTAGATTTATATATTAAAGCCTTACATTATTGAATGTAAAATTTGTTATGCTTTTATTTCTTTTTTATATTTTTTTCTCTCTAAACAGAGATATAAAACTTTGCTCAATTAAATTTTAATTTTAGTTTGTGTTTACCGAAGAATTGTCGATATACTGAAATAACACAGAGATATACTGGCTTTGATGATATTCGTGTTCACCGTGCTCATCATTCTTCCGTCATTTGGTCTACATTTTCGGCCCGTGACGAATCTCACGGATCACGGCAGACTGTTACCGTTGCAGGCGTATTATTTCTATGACACGGATAAGAGCCCGCAATTCGAGCTCACTCTTATCATCCAAGCCGTGACAACGTTACTGAGCGCAATAACTTACACATCGGTGGACTCTTTTTTTGCATTGACGATTTTTCACATCTGCGGTCAGTTGGAAAATTTCAAACACCGACTAGTTGGCTTGGCATCGCGCAAAGATTTCGATAGCACTCTGCGCGACAACGTGCAGACTCATTGCCGTTAGTACGTTTGATAGTACCGTATTTATTAACATTTATTATAAAAAAATGTGCCTTCAAGATAGACATTCACGATATTCTTATAATTTATACTTACGGGACATTGTACGTCTTTACCGCCACATTTTTTTTGTGCATGACTGAAGTTTTTTTGTCTTCTTCCCCATGAAGGAACTCTCCTCTATACAGATATTAAATATGCAACATGCAACATGTAACATTATCTAATATCGAAAATACATTCACATTAATGATGTTGGGACTGGTATTTTATTTTGGTATTGTATTTAGTCTATTCGGGTTTCTATTGGTTGCTGTAAGTGTCAGTAAGAAGTACGGAAAATGTTGAGACATTCTTTTCTCTTTTTTTTTATCTTTTCACTTTTTATAATAGAAAATTATGTGGAGTATATTATCTGGGATGTGGGCGCTACGCGAAGTGAACGCAATTGTCGTTATAAAGTACGAAGAAACTTGAACAGCAAAAAAATTCGACGATCTTATTTGTAAGACAACGTAACTCTCTTTCTATTAGTGGCGTAGATACATCGTTGCATTTTACGACGTACTCTCTTATTTTCGCATAAAGTTTTATCGCGCAAAACGAACGGCTGCTATCAATTGGGCGTAACATTTGTAATATTTAATGCATTTCTCGACGAAGCAGCTGGCATAGGGTATCGCACTCGTATCGCGAGCATGCGTGATGATTATCTTTCGCAACTTTTGGAGTAGGGTGTTATCATTCACTAAATTTCACATTAATTCTTGCATTTTTAATAAAAGATATATTCAAATTATCAAAAAGTAATACGCGAATATATACATTAATATGTTTGTAATATATATATGCTATAATAATTGTATAGTTATATGATTTAAATATACTATACCGACTGTAATACAGACTGTATAATGTACAGCATCCGCTTCACCAATTATTAGAATATTCACAATATAAATTGTATTTGTGACAAACAATGCACCGCTGTAATTGCGCAATAAGAAGCCGTGTACGTTTCGTAGCTCTGGCAATATGGAATATATCAGAAATATTGGCACCAAAAATGACATAGACATTATACGAAAACTTATATTTATGATATCATCGAGATCATTGACATCGTCTTCATCATCGTCAAAATCATACATGTCATCGTCTTCAATCGACGAAATGTCATTATCGGTTGTCGTAATAAAGATATTGTCACAAGTCTCTGAGCAGATAATCGCTTCGTACTTATCCCCATCCACGATGGCAAGACAATATGATGTCGATTTGACAAATATTTTATAATAAGGTAAATAGAGAGAACCATTGGCAAAGAACATGAAATCATACTGATAATCATCGGAAAACCGGTCTTTATTCTGGCACGGATCGTAGACGACAAGCTGAAACAATTCATTCACCGTCTTATTTTCGCTTTGCAACGAATCGTTCGTGTATCCGTACACGTTCGGGAAGAAGTATTTATTTCCTTCAGAGAGGCATTCATTATCAACCAGACGATCGCCGAGAGGACAGCATAGCTGAATGCAAGTAATATTGAAGCACATTTCGTATGAAACGACGATTTTTATATTGCTATCTTTACTGAAATTTCCTGAGAACTCGTACGATGTAGAATCATTTTTCTCTTCAATTCTCATCAAGTTTTCATAAATTTCCTGTGTCGTAAAATTTCTTTTATGGTTGCCATTTGTTGAATTCGTGCTAGATTCCATCCGAATTTGTTTATCACCTTCATGATTTTGTATGGAGTGCGTATCGAGTTTGAACTGTATCGAATTATCATCTTCGCGATCGTTGCTGGAAATGATGCGAGATTCATATTGCATATCTTCATATTGCGTATTATTGGTAGACTTTTTGTACAAATCATATGGCAGCGTTTTCATTTTGTTGCCATAGTTTGTCGTAGGATTCGCGTCTATCTCATATCGTACTGTCAAATTATTATTTTTCTCTTTATTGTCTGTGAAATTTTGCTGAGGATTCGATGACGAAGCGACGAGAAGACAAAGCGCACAATACCAAAACGTCAAATTTTTTCCACACATAGTTGCCTTTTTGATGTCAAATTTATACCTGGAAAATACGTATCTGATTTTTTTCTACGATGAATTTATATTTAAATGTCCAAAATCAATGATATGCGAACTGCGGCTTGAAAAATGTACTAATATTGTTAGTCTGCGATGGTTTGATGATGATAACTCATTTGTCCCAGTCCTCAAGATTAAAGGAGCTGCTGTCGCAGTATTTATTCTTGCGAATGCATGTCAGAAAGTAAATTGATGTCGACAGAACGGCACTTCGATGAAATGAGTTACGGAGGGCCAGGAACGGTGATGTTGTGATACAGGCGGTTGTTAATCTCTTGGAATGGTATTATTCTATTTCTTTCTAGAACGTGTAATTTAAAAAATGAATGACATGCGTGAATGCTTGATTTTTATATTCGATTTTAAGAGCTTTTAATATTTTTATAGTTTAACACACACACACACACGTATATACAATATATGTATAGTATATACAGTGGCGTGCAAAAATTTCCGGCCAGTGACATTTTGTAAATATAACAATTATAACTATAAATATTTTTACAAACATAAACAATATTCTTTCACTATATTATTTTGTTTCCTATATGATATACTCGCACCTGATAATGGTTAAAAAGTCATTAGGCTTTTTTTAATAAATTAGAGTACGAAATGTCACTGGACGAAAACTTTTGCACGCCACTGTATATGCACCCACAAAAAAAATATAAATTCAGCATTATATGTTATAATCAATGTAAAAATATGTTACGCGTTATAAGTTTAATAACTATATTTTCAAGCTGACAATAAAAATTTATATATATATTTAGTCTTATTTGCCACTTTATTTAGTTTTATATTAAATTATTAAAAACACGTTTTTATATATATACTCATAATATTTATTATATACGGTTGTTTTAGTATAAATATAAATAA